GCCCGCCGGTCCGCGGGCCGGCCGGCTCCCATTGTGCCCCGGGCCTGCGCCCCGGGCCGTCCGGTGACCGCCCGCACCCCGCAGCGCTCCCGACGGCCGGGCGCTGGAAGTTCGGGCCCACGGCGCCCGCCCGCCCGCCCCGGGATGCATGTGAACTTAGAGAAAGTCGCGGGGCGCGCTGGCGCGGACCTCCGCGGCAGGGCGTGGGCGCCCCCGGCCCCGCGCGCTTTCGTTTTCGCCCCGGACAAAGGTCCCTCGCGGCGCAGGTCGCGGACGTGGAGACCGGGTCCTGCGGGTCACTCTGCGGGTTGGTCCGATCGTTCAACCCGGGGAAGCCGGAGCGAGAAGAGAACGAGCGGCGCGGTCGGAGGCGCGGTGCGGGACCCGGGGAGTGGGGCCTGGCCGTGCGCTTCGTCCGCGCCGTCCCGGAGCTGTCCTGCCCTGGGAAGAGTTGTGGGAGATGGCACTGCTTTGCTCTCTGCCCGTTTTGCCGCGTGAAGGGGAGAATCATTTTGGAAGCCAGGACTCGGACCGATGGGCCGGGGCCTGTGCAGCCGTGGGCGCGATAGCGCAGCGCCGGCTGCGTCCGAGAGCGATCCTCCGGCAAGGGCAGAGCTGCCGACCAGCGCGCCCCAGGCTCGATCGGGTCCAAGGCGACTCTTGAGGATGGTAAGTGCATTTCTCACTTTCGCTACTTAGTGAATATTTAAATATTGATGAAGGGATTTCTAAGAAGAGCCCTTTTGTAGGGCAGGCCTTTCGCAGACCCGGACTGGGAAGGAAGGTTGATCTTGGACCCGAAGCCGCACCAGCCTGCAGCAGCTCCATGGCCGTTATTAAAATTCTGGAACTTGGAATTTGTGAAATACAGCTTTTAATCTCAGATGTGTGCCGGCCATTTGCCAGAGAGAATTTGGTCGAACACGCCAAATAGCAGGCCTCCTAAATAGAACAGGAGGAAAAGAGAAAACAACAGTTTTTAGATCAGATGTGTTCCGAAAGGTTGTTTGTAAGCCACAGTCCTTTCTTCAAAAACTGAAATCTTTCACTGACTTCCTAAACCATCAGTGCTGCTTATTTATTTTTCCTGCTGGTCAGGCATTTATGGAGAGCTGGTCTAGGGCGGCCCTGGGTCAAGGACTGGCTGCTTTGGCCCTTGGAGTGAAAGCCCCATGTGTGGATGCTGTTGTTTATGGTGGCATAAAACAAAAACAACTCATAACTTTTCATAATAAATCCCTCTTTATAGATGGGTCACACACGGGCCCAGCCCGCAGCCCTGGGGAATCTGTGGGGAGCAAGAAAGGGGTGAAGGAATGCATGTTTGCCGTAATTACAGGGTTTTAAGGTAACGCTGAAATTAATTTCTTCAAAGTTGGGCTTCAGAGGCCACGGCAGTCTCTGTAGGCCAGCAGTATGTTCATTTTATTTTAGTTCGTTGGTTTTAGCTGTTTGGGATTTTTAAAAAGCACGTTTGTACTTGCGTGTTACCTACCCTGTTAAAATGAAACTCATAACTGGGAGATTAAACCCGCTTTTTAATATGATCGTATCACAGGTGCGATTTCCCCTCGACTCTGCCTCATCTTATTGATGTGGCTTGGACAACCTTGCGGGGTGCTTTGACCACAAAATAATGGGGAGAGGGGGGCCTGTTTCCATAACACCCCAGAGCTGTGAGCTGGCACTCGGAGGCTGTGTTTCCGGGAATGTGGACAGAGGTCTGCGTAGCCCAGGCCTGCCTCATGCCTCCCTCTCCCAGGGCTGCCTGGTTTCCAGAACCGAGAGGAGAACCCAGAGGAACAGAGAGACGGTTTCAGTAAGGTCTGCCCACCTGGCCCCGAGGCTGAGGGTGTGCTTCTGTGAACTGCCGTAGAGCCATCCTCGCCATCTTTTTAGCTAGGCCATCGCCCCTTACCCCAGTCTCCTGTTTTGAATTTGTCTTTATGACTTTATCAGAGGCAGTTAGCAGACTTGGAACGCAGGGAGGGGCACTGGGGAGTGATCTCAGAAACGGAGGGTGGCTTGCCCCTCTGGCTGGGAGCGGACGCTGGCCGTGGTGTTGGCAGAGACGGGTTAGTAATTACAAAAAGCCCAGGTTCCGCTGGGGCCTTGCCTGTAAAATGCAGGAGACATTTCCCTGGGTCCATAGATGACCCGTAGTGTAGCGTACGATGGGCAGGCATGGTGTGGCATTCTGCTCAGACTGTTGGGCATCCCCCCAGGGTTAAAGCAGATCGCAACACAGGGGCGTTGGTTGCTCCCTCTCTGAGAGCCCACGGGCCAGGCCCCGGGAGCAGGGAGAGGCCTGAGCATCCGAGGAGGCACCCCCAGGGCCACTCAGCGGGGGGCTACTCTTCATCAAGCTCCAGAGGCCCAGCGCCCGCCCACGTGTGCCCCTGGCACAGGGGATGCACTGGGGCTGAGAGGCCGCAGCCAGGAGCCAGGCCGGCTCTGTGGAGGGAGGCCCTGCCTCGGCACCATGCCGTCCTGTCCTGCCTTTGTCCTTGTCCTTAGGGCCAGCCTGATACCCTGGAGACTCCTCGTGGAGACCCGAGTCTCGGCACCACGCGGGGAGGTCTTCTCACCACGCGGGGAGGTCTCATCTGGAGAAAATGCATTTTTGAGGACGTGCACGTGACACAAAGTTCGGAAAATGAAACTGGCGCCTGCCTGGTTTTTCTCAGTGGGTTTAGGGGGAAGAATGTGCTAAGCAGGGGACAGGGTCTTATGGACTGTAGCGGGCTGGCGGGAGGGTGGCCCTGGCGCTCTTGTATTTTGTTTACAACCAGGGCCAGGCCCAGGGTGCCCCCTGGACTGCCCTGAGTCTTTGCCATTCCCCGCCTCTGGCCACTTGAGGCCCCCCGATTCTGGCCTGGGGGGTCTCCAGGGTGTGGATGGGGCTGGCTGCCCAGTACGAGCAGTGGTGGTGACTAGCCCCCACCCACAGTCAGGTCTCCCCTGCCCCCTAAACAGGTACAGACAGCATCTTGCTCCGCTCAGCGGGACCAGCGGGGAGCTTTGCCACAGGGGGGATGTTCGGGTCCCTGGAGTTTGCACCCAGCTGTGGCCAATGCCGTGAACGGGTCTCACTTGCTCCCATCTTCATCCCGGCGTGGACGAGGCCTGACGGGAAGGCGGCTGGTGGGTCCCAGGGAGGGGCTCAAGGGCTCTGCCCACCCTGATGGGCTCTCTACCTGTGTGGGTGGGTGTTCCCTGGTGTCCAGGGTGACCGACGTGTGCCCTCGGTGAGGGACAGCGCTCGGGGACGGCAGGCAGCCCCATGAACCAAGCAAGGAAACATCTTAAAACCATCACGCCTGGCTGTTCTTAGGCTGGAAGGGCGTTTCTGCGTGTTTAGGGAGCACAGAGCTACCCCTGTAGTAATCCTGCCAAATGCGGGTTTCCTAGCTCACGGCCAGGCCGCTCCAATCCAGCCCCCTGCCCCTGGCTCGCCGTGGGATCCTGGACAAGTCCTGTCCCCTCCTGGGATTGCAGCCCACACTCTCCAGCAGGAATAAGAGCCCGGACCTCAGAGGGTCCTTGGGAAGGCTCAGACGAGGTTATTTCCACAAACCCCAGTAGGGGCGCGTGACAGGGACGCCATACATGGCTGTCGTGGTAATTGTTTTCGTTGTAAATGGTAATCGCCATTTTTATTGCTAGTTGTTATCATGTTTTTGAGCTTCTAAGAAACAGGGAAGCTAGTTTTGGTTTCGTTGGGAAGGACACCTGGGCGTTCACGACACACCCCCTCTCCCCCAGCCCTGCCCGGGTGGCAGTGCAAATGAACCTTGGTGTTTTCAAGGTGGACGACCAGGTGCTTCCAAGCCAGCGCTCTCCTTGTCTTGGGGGCTTGGCTTAGGCGCGTGCTCACGGAGGAGGTGCCCCGTCCTAAGCACTTTTTAGGAGTGGAACCTCCTCAAGGATGGCACTCACCTGGGAGCCGACCTCGGGGGCTGACCAGGGAGAGACAAGGGCAAGAGGTCCTGACCCAGGCATCCAGAGTGCCCACACCAGCCGCTGGCATCCTTGCCTGCAATTCAGGTTGGCAGTTTGATGGGGCTTCATCACTCTTGACAGGCTAATGGTTCTTTGACCCCATACAAACGTGCCTTTACCAAGATGCTTGCTTTAAGAGAGCTTTATCTCTTAGCTGATCATCTGGGAAGACCCAGCAAGGTTGCCCTTTCTGGAAACATCTTGTCGGAACAAGAAAGAACCCCAGATGGCATCGGCCCTGCTTGCTGATGTTACGGAGTCGAGGAGAGAGAAAAAGCAACAATTGTCTCCGAGCAAAGACAATGGACCTTTTATATGAAATATTTATTTTCAGGGCCGACCGGTGTCCCGGTGGCTCGGCATCGCAGGCCCTGAGAACTCAGGGACGAGATGTACAGAAAAGGAAAAAAAAAAGAGTCCCCTGACCTGTGATTCTTGGGGAATTTCAGTGGGAATGCCTGGCTTTCTTTATTGAGTGGAGTTTAAACTTTCACAAGTTTATTTTCTCTCCCTCTGTGATTTCTTCTGAATGGCCGCTTGCAGGGGCATGTTGGCACACAGCGGAAAGGTAGCCAGGTTTTGGACCGTGGGCTGGACGGAGCCTTGCTGGGGCCAGGCCTGGCTGGCTGTTGTCTGATGGGGGGGTGGGTCACAGGACGGAAGTGGGCTGGAGGAAGAAGGGTCCTCACGGGGGTGGGGTGAAAGGAAAGCCACCGCGAGCCAGTCTTGGACAGTATTTGTGATTCTCTGGCGTCCCTTACTCCTACCCAAATAGCGTTGTCCGAAGAACTTGGAATCTGCCAGCAGCTTATCAGAGAGTCTGGCCTGAGTTGGCGAAGCCACACATGGGCCCTCAACACCCTCCCTGGCTGGACGGGCCTGGCCCAGGGTTCCTGCTGGATGGACGTTCTCTGAGCTAAGCGAAGGAGCAGGCTTTTACTCGGAGGCCTGCTCTCAAGCCACTCACCCTTCCCTGCCTTGAGGCTCAAGTGGGGCTCGCGTTGCTGACCTGGGTTCCTGATCAAGGTCTAGCTTCGCTGCAGCTAGGAAGGCGCCCTGGGACACAAGGCCCGGATCCCAGGTTCATGTTAGGGACCCCGGGAGGAATGGATCAGGCTGGGGCTTGTGACGGGAGCATTGAGGCGCCAGTCTTGCTGGTGCTGGGCGTGGGGGGCGTTGGCAGGCCGTGGTGGGCCATCGGCCGAGACCCCTACTGGCTTAAAGGGTCCTCGGTCTGGTGGGTGGAGGGCAGGAGAGGGAGTGGCCCCCATCAGGGTAAGCGGTGGGGTTTCCTCTTTACCCAAAAGACTGTTGGCAAATTATATTATCTGGCTTCAAAAATGAGTTTTCTTTTTTCTTTTTTAAAAACCAAAACCTGCTGTTGCATCTTTCTTAAAAAAAAAAAATCCTGGAACCTCTTAACTGGGGTCTATTTCACCTTCTGCATTAACCCCCTCCCTCCAAAAAAAGATATAATGAAGAGAGCTCTCTTGGGGCGGGAGGTGGGGGCGGGGGCACCTATAACAGGCTGCAAGCCTGTGCTTGGAGTTGATAAAATTAAAATGGAAGAGACTGAAACCCTTCTCATGAGGCAGGACAACTGGAAAACACAGAGTTCATTTACTTTTTTTTTTTTGGAGAGGAGTTTTGCAAGTAAAAGGCTGCAAATTCTTCCTGTGAAATTTTGGACAGAATTTTGTTGTTTCAAGACTCTGGATTCAGAAGTCTTGCCTTTAGGGATGGCTCAGAAATCCTGTGGATGGGTAAATCGGCTGGCCGGGCCCACTGCTGTGCATCAGTGGCTAAGAGGTTTTCTGAGCAGAGATGTGGCCAGCAGAGGCGATGGTTGTTGTCGCTAAATGAGCCTGGCAGATCTGCTTAGAAAATGTGTGCCTGGGACTTACAGAGAGAGCAAAGCCCAAATTTTCTTTCTCTGTTTTTGGAGTAATAGAATTTCCCCTTAAGATGAGGGTTGGGGGCGTGAGAAGCATGTTGTCTCTGTTGCCTCCGTTTTGTAATGCTGGGGCTAGGTTTTTCAGTGAATCACCCTTCTTTTAATTCTAGGATTTGAGACGGTTAGGAAGTTTAGCTGATATATTACCTGCTGATTTGGGGCTCTTAAATCTAGATTTGCCTTTCATGTGTTTAAAAGCGATATTTACATTCAAATCAGCCTTTCATAATTACATTTTAAATTATAATGAAATGATGGAGCCGGGGCTTCAGTCTTCCACATGTTTTAACTGTAAGAGATGCTCTGGCGGGCTGCATATCACGTCACAGCCCTGGGCTCCACGCAGGCGTGAGCAGGCATCGGACATGCAGGTGTTGGCCTGCAGGGCCCACATGTGTCCTGAACATGTCAGAGGGCGTGCATGTCACCTGCCAGGCCCTCCCCATGCTCCTGGGAGAAGGGCTTGTGGATAATTCTGACCCCAGCATGGCAGCGATGTTGCCAAACCTTGTGGCATTGGGCTCCCTCCCGGAAGGGCCTGGTTCGGGCCTGGCTGCTCTCTTGGGTCTTGAGCCCCACGTGGACCCGCAGGCCTTGGGGACGGAGGCCTTGATCTCCTGGGTGGCCAGCTGGGCACCTCTGGGGTGCTGTGTGTGCCAGGTGGGGGAGGGGCGCCCTGACCCGGGGTCTGCCTCCTCTCCCTTGTTGGGGCGCCCCCCCACCCCCGATCGCCTACAGTTTTCCGTGGCTTCCCCCACGGAGCATGGGGGACTCTCTCCTCCTGGGCCCAGGCTGTTGGCAGCCGTGCCACGCGGTTCCTGGAATGGAATTCCCGGCGTTCCTGGTCAGGCGCGTGGCATTGGAATCCTACCTGCTTTGTCTCTGGCATCAGCTGGTGAGCTAGTCACGTGGCCATGTGCGTGAGCCCGGAGCCCGAGGACCGGCGGACTCCTCCCGCCGCTCCCTTCTCCCTCGCTGCCCCGCTTGTGCCTGTGTTCCGGGCACGGTCTCTGTGCAGCCGTTAAGCAGTGTTGAACCAAAACACACTCCAGGCAGCCAGGGTGCAGCGGGAGCTCCGTCCTCGGAAAGGCCTGGAACCCGGGGAAGCTGCCCCGGGGGCCCCAGAGCAAACTCCGGCCGTGGCGGCCCAGCCTGGGTCCCCGCACACCGTTCCTTCTGCCCCAGAGCTGGCTCTACTTGCCTGGGGACCCTGCCCACATGCACAGCCCGGAGGCCCACCCTGCAGGGGGACAGCCCGGTGGTCATCGTCTCAGTTCCGGGCCATGGGAAGGTCCAAAGGAGAGACCTGGGCGGACCGGCCGTCCACGCGGCACAGCCAGGTGCCCGCAGAAGAGGCCCGCCGGGTCTGATAAATCTCCAGGTGGAAGCGCCCCTGTTACAGCCTCAGGCCCACTGACCCGGCGCGGTGGCCGTTCCTCTTAGTGCTGGATTTGCCTGGGTGAGACCAGTGGGTTGTGACGGTCTGGGTGGGGTGTGGTGACAGGCCCTCATCGTGGCCAGGCTGAGCATTCCTTACTGTGACATCACGGCAGCCCAGAGTGGCTGGGGTCCACCGGGTACCGATGGGGAAACTGAGGCTGAGTGAGGTGGCGTGGCTGCTAGGACTCGGGGCTGGGTTCAGGGTGGTGGTGCGGCTCTCAGCCTGGACGGCGCAGCCTCTGGGGGCATCGGCTAGAGGGGGCTTGCTCTGGGGGGCCCCCGGAGAGCCTGGCCGGGGTGCTGGCTGCCCCTACCCCTGGCTGGGCCCAGGGCGGGAACAATGCGGCCTCTATCCCCCGAGCTGGCCAGCCCAGGCGGGCTGCCCGCAACATGGCGCCCGGGGCCGCGCCGCCTGTCCACGGGGAGGGCTGGCGCCTGGACCAGCCCGGCCCCCCGCGTCCTCCCCGGGCCGGCTACGGAGTGGCCAGACGCTGCGGCTGCCTCCGCCCTCTCCCGCTGGGCCGGCCTCCGGCGATGGGTTTGGGGGTCCGGCCCACCCGCCTCTGCCACGTCTGCCACCCTCCCAGCACCCACGAGCATCTTTCAAAAATTCCCGGTGGGCGGGGCCGAGCCGCAGCGGCCGCCTCTGGCCCCCCCTCCCCGGCAGCTAGTGCCAGATGAGAGCAGGAGACAAAAGTAGCATTTTCCTCGTCCTCCTGGGCTGGCAGCGGGGCCTCCCCAGCGCCCCTTGGCTCCCGGCGGCCCTGCCTCTGGGCTGCCGAGGCGGCCAAGGCCCCAGCCACGCCAACCGGGACCGAGGGGACCAGTGGACAGTGGCGGCCGCAGACGAGGCGCCCGAGGGCCCGTCGCCCAGAGGGCTGGCACCGGGGACTGGCCCCCCGGCCTGCGGGCCCAGCCCTCCTCTGCCTGCCGCGGTGCCTGGCCGGGGCGACACCACTGCTTTCACTGCCTTGCTTTGGAGCAGCTCTCCGTCCTCCTGCGCCCGGTAAGTCTCCCTCCTCTTCAGTGCTCTCCGCGCTGGAGGCGAGCCGAGGGCTCTGCCATCTTGTGCCTCTTACGTTTGCCTCTCTCTAATTGGTTACCCAAAATTCAAAATTCTATTTCAGATCCCCACCCCCCCCAACCCCACCATCTTCAGTGAAGTAAGCCCTTCCAAAAACTGCAGGGAAGAGGCAGAAGCCAAACCCATTTATTTTTAAGATCCAAAGCTACAGGGTGTTCGAAATCACAATAAAAATGAATGTTTGTTATTTCACAGTAGCTGCATGTTCAATTATAATTTGAGTGAATGTTTTGGGAGGTATTAATAGACATGGCCTTACTCTTCCATGCTCAGTTGTACCGGTTTTATTTTTATTTTTTTGGAGGGGGGAGATCTCGTTATTGTTGTGATTATTGTTTTAATTTTCGGCCAAACTAGGAGTGGCAAAGGGAAAAAACACCAGAAACATCCACGGTCTCCCCAGCCAACTCCTCGGCAGGCAGGGCCAGGCGGGCACACGGGAGGCTGGATTCTGCCTTGAGAAACAGAGGCCCTTTCATTTTGTCCAGTGTCTTTAATGCTGCCATATCCACAGTTTAGCGATCCAGTTTCTTTCTCCTTTTTATTTTATTTTATTTTTGGGGAGGGCAAGAAAAGGAAGGTGTTTTCAGCTTTCAGCTTAGTGAGGGCAGATTTTTTTAGGTTGTTTTGGGCTTTGTTTTTTTAAGCACTTCTTTAAGCCAGGGGTTCCAGCTAACATTGCTATGCCGGCTCCTATCCAGCCTGCCCGTGGACGGCTCGTGGGGTGCACGTGGGCCCGTCCGCCTGCTCGACCCTCTGGGGCCCTGAGTGGTCCCGGGACCTGCCTGTGCCCCGACCCCGCCCTGGCTGCCTACTGGCAGAGCTGTGACTGAGACATCCCAACCATCCGGGCTCTGAGCCCTGTCCACTGGGGTGGGGAGTGAGTCCCGGGAGACCTCCAAGCTCCGGGGCCACACTGTTCCTGCCCTGCGGGAGCTGGGTCCTGTGGCCATCTGAGTCTTTCTGTTGGGCCCGGAACCTTTTCATTTAGAAGGTGGGCTTTGCCGAGTTCAGCTCTGAGCTCGCCTCCACCCTCTGGCAGGCTGACAAAAGCGCCCGTAGACACGGCCTGGTTTCCCCACGTTGGAGGGGCAGCAGCCAGGGTCTTGATTTATGG